TATATATCTGTCGTGTGTGTGTGTGTCTGTGTGTGCGCGTCTTTGCTGACTTGTTTCTCGTGAACAGCGCAGCATGGATCCAGATGAGGGATTTTTATGAAGAAGGGGTAGCCGTGCTGGCCATCTCCTGAGAAAGACATTGCAGGCATAGAGGAAATACAGAAACTATCCTGGAAGTGGTTAGGGAAGAAAGGGGCAGCAGGCGGCATCGCTGGTGAAGCAGAGGAGATGAGGATGCAGTGAGAGGCATCTGGGGGAGAAGTCAGTGACTTCGGCCCATGCAGCCAATCTCTGCTCGTGTCGGTAGATGTCACTGCAGACAGTTACCAAGGAAATTTTAGAGCTGCTGGGCACCCACAGGGAAACACTTGCAGTGTGTAGAGGAAATTATGCTTCACAAAGCAATTTCGGCAGGAGGAGGAGTTTTCTACCTCGCTATCAGTATTCTAATCAGGAAACAAATGTATGTGAACATCAGAGCTGGTATATTTTTAAAACTAACTGGCAGTCAACAGTGATCCAAACAACACACTTACATTATTATAACTGGGACCAAATTAATACTGTGGAAAGACACCGCAACTCTGGAAGGACGAAGTTTAATTCAGATCATCACAGCCACCCAATGCCAGGCTGGGAAATGACCCAAAAGAGTCGCTGAGAACTAGCAGCCTCTCCCATGTTATGTCTTAGCCATGGCCACCAGCACTACTGACGTCAGAGATGAGGGTCTGCGCGTGCTCCAGGCTGCAGTGAGATGGTTTCTGGGGTCTGGAAGCCACACACACTGCTCTTCCAGCAAACACAGGAATTAGCCGAGACCCTGCCTCCTTTTCCACATGACCCTGCTTGTACGGAGGGGGAAATATAGCCATTACTTATAAACTGACATGGCATTCTGGATGCCATGCCAGACCCTGCTCTGACAGTGGCGACTGGATCATTACAGAATAACCTGTACAGGGAAAAAGTTTTTTTCCTGAATCAAGGTAAGTTATTAGTTGGCTTATGCCCTACGGCATCTCTTATACAACGGATACAATTAAAAATTGTTGGCATGAGTGTTTTTATTGCCTGCATAAAAGGTCTACTTCTGTTTCAAAACCTCCCGCATTCTTGGCCTCTGTGATGCCCTGCCCAGCGAGCTCTGCAAGTTAATTGTGTATTGTGTAAAATCATTTCCTTTTTGTCAGTTTTAAACTAGCTGCCTTCCATTTTCATTGCCCCTTCCCCCTATTCTTACATTACGAAACACCTGAAATAGAATCAGCAATTCACTTTTTCTCTACCCTTTGTTATTTTATACCGCTGTCAGATCACTCTCTAAACATTCTCAATCTTTTCCATTTATCCTCTTTATATGCCTCTTAATTTTTTTGTTCCCCTGCTATTTCCACTGCTCCTTTTTGAGACAGAATGATCAGGCCTGAACACATTCTGCAAGAGGAAAGAACAGTGCTGATTCCTCTAATAGCTTTATAAAATGCTCATCATTATAATAGCCTAGCATTTTGTTTGAATTTCTGACTGCTGCCATACACGGAGGAGGGCTTTCGTTAAACCATCCTCAAGGATGACCAGGGCTTTTTTTCTAAATTGCTACAAGTAATTTAGAAGGCTATGATATGTACGAGGAATTCAAGTTATTCCTTTCAATATACATTACTTGGCACGAGTCTGGCAGCATGCTGCCCAGTCATCTAGACTGGTTAAATTCTGCAACTTCCTTAAAGGTTTCCTCTACTTCCTTAAAGGTTTCCTCTACCTAGTCTTGATTTTGCAGGTTTGGGGCAGGTAATGCTCATACCACTTATTAGTGTATGCTGCAAAAATCTTACAGCTGTAACACCAGGATCATGGTTTTATTTACAGATCTAAATCACCTGCAGTACGTTGCTGAGGAGTTATCGACTGAATATGCAGAGCTTTTCAAAACAAAGCCAATGGCCACGTCACCCTAACGGACAAATACTCTTTCCCCCTAAGGACAGGGCCTGCTACCTTCAGGTACTTTACATGGCAGAAAAGTGTCAAGCAAAACTCCAACCAAAACATAAGACAACACGGAGGAAAAGAAAGGTCAGAAGAAGAACCAAAAAACATCCCCGGGGCCAAACAGACAAGGCATATCACAGAGACGGCAGACGCAAAAACATTCTTCGTGTGAGCCAAGTGTGGCCTTCCGCGCAGCGTCAGATGAGCCAGGCTGCCTGCTGGGAGAGAAGCAAACAACAGCAGCTGAACGCAGACGGCCTAATTTGGGTTTGCTAGCACCAAGGCATCCCTGGAACCCCCAAAATGGAAAACTGCCCTCGCCTTCTCGACACTGTAAGTGTTAAAAAGCAAAAGCTGTTGTCAACCCTTCCCAAGTGGGTCAGTCCTTCCTCTGGAGCGGCTGGCCTGAGAACTGTCAGACTAATGTTGCTGAACACCCTATTACTAAATCACGGCTCAGCCACAGCCATTCTTTGCCTCAGAAGCTGGATCCCATCCCAGAACAATCTTTACAAGTTTATTTTACTGATCAAAGCAAAATAAGAAAAACCTCTATATTTTACTATATTTAGTGAGCTATTCAGTAAGTGAAACTTTGGCAAGAGCAATGAAATGTAAAGTGCACCCCACATTTGTAAACTTTTGCATATTTGCTATGGAATAAGGCCAAAAGCGTTTGAAATGTCAATCAGGGTTCAGGTTGCTAGTACTTTCTTGCTTTGTTTTAGTTTAATAAAGTGGGCAACGTTGCCTTTCTCCGACAATACCCAGCAGACCCTCAATAAGGGCCCTTTGGCGAACAGTAAGCCTACACACGGATGCCGAGCGTGGCTCTGGGACCAAACCAATGAGATTGTGCTGCCATCTCGGGGCAAGGCCAGTGCATCACGCCGCACTTCCCACACGCTAGTGGGGAAGCAGCATGGCACCTCCTGGCCCGGCCCCCTGGCACTCTGCATGCAACAGAGCTGTTGCTTGCTCCGGGCAGGTCACACCAGTGCTCCTCCCAATGGAGAAGCATGCCAAGACTGCAAATTAAACCAAGCCACGCCAACCCCCCTCCCACCAGTGCAGTGCAGTTAGGTAGGAAATGCATTTCAAGGGTTACTTGCCAGGTTCTCAGTCATTCCCTGCACTGGTACTCGAGACCCACCATCCTCATGTCAAGCTATACCTTATCTAACATATGTTTAACTAAGATTATAAGCTACTTACATTTTACCCTAACCCACTGTTGTGTCACACCATCATTTTAAACCAATGTATCTATCACTAGCTGCTGGAAAACAATAGGAATAGAAAAAATACTATTCTATCAATTAAAAGCACTTCTTAAAATTTGGAGCCAAAAGACATTCTGAGCCTGCATTTTTCTGTCATTTTACGAAAACATACCTGGGTGACAAGGTTAAATCAAGCAAAGGAAATCCCTGGCACTTATCACCCACAGGCATTACTGATAAATTGTGCAGTGGAGGAATAAAGGATTACCTTCTGTATTTTTTCATTACACTTTTCTTTTGTTACAGAATACATAAATCCATTGTGGCACAATGTAATATGTATCATCGTGCTACACCTGTGGACGTTTCATAACGGCTGCCATGTCTGTGCAGTCAGGAATGATAAGTGAACCACCCGTGAATGTTAATGATAGTGATCATTCTGAGGTAACTTGGCTTTCCATCTTCCTTTACAGCCTTAGTGCTGAAGCCAGGGTGGCAAGGTTCAGAAGAGGAAAATGAAAACAAGAGAAAGGCAAGAGCTTCAGAGCTCAGACTGCTTTTTGGGGAGAAAGGCAAGGGAATTTGTGCAGTCTCTTATCCTTGGGGACAGTTGCAGTGAATAAATTAACTTTTAGGAAAGGAGGACTGTCTTCCATCCTGATCATAAGGCACAAACTTTTCCAAACTCAAGTCGGATTCTCTATCCTGGAAGCAGCTTGTTTTATTCCGAGGCAGAAATCGGAGCACTTAAGGCTTTCTGCAGAAAACTGCTGGCATGGTTGAAAATGACTGGTAATGACTAGTAAGATTTTCCCACTGGAAGTGCACAAAATCCAAGTTGAGGCTAAGAATCCCGGTTGACACAATGTCCTTTACTTAAGCTGGGTCATTTTTTTTAATAAACTACACAACGATATGAATCAGAGTGACTGTGTCAGCCCACACTTTTAGGTCTACATCTGAATTGTCTTGCTTTTGTGAGTCCCATGTTACTGTTGTGTGCTTATGAGTTTGATTGCCTCGGTTGTTATAGTACTTAATTTTCATACATTTGCATTGCACGTATATGATAAAATCCATTTTACAGATCACACACACACACACACACACACACACACACACACACACACACACGTATGAAGACTGACAACAGGCCTTACTGGGAAATGCTCCTACAGACTGAACAGAACTACAGTTCAAGCCTCTCAGCTGCATTTATAAGTGCATCCTAGAAGATTTCACATTATTTGCA